CCCCGGGACTCCCTCCCTCCCTCCCTGCGTCCTCCCGCAGCTCGGGCTCTGCGTGCGGAGCGCTGGGGGTGGGGGTTGAGCCTGGCGGCGGGGTCTGCCCAAGTCGCCCCTCGGCCTCTGCGAGGGGAGAGCTCGGTGGACGGGGCCTTGGCCTGGGCGAAGATGTCCTGGGGTTGGGACTGTCCCCGGCCGCGCGGGGGTGGACACGGCTCCCCGGTGGGGGCGATGCGTGTTTGGGGAACTCTTTGTGGGGAACACAGCCCAGGTGCCGCCCCCGCGCCGGACTCCTCTTTCCTCCAGGCCCCGGGACTCCAGCGAAGACTAATCACCAATTAAGGCGAAGTCCTGGAGCCCGGGCTGGCGAGAGGCCAGGGGTGGGGCGCGGGGACACTCCGCCTGCTGGGGCTCGAGGCGGCTGAGGTGGGGGACACACATCGGACTAGGGGGCGAGGAGAAGCGCGGAGGTCTCGGCGATTAAATGGGTCTCATGCAAATTAGATGCGAACTTTACGCTAATAAGAGGAGAGTATTTTTGAATTCGCCACTTTGCTCAGGATGGGAAACTGCGCCCCACCCCACCCCTGGCTTCTTACCGGGCTGCGGGGCCCAGGCGAGGACCTCCCGCTCGCGATCCCCTCTCTGATCTCCCTCCGTGCAGTCGGACTCTGGATCGGGACCCCCCGGCCCTAGGGGGCTTCTCTTCGGGGGCTGCGGGACAGAATGCCTGTAAGGAACCCACCCTCCTAGGAAGCCCTGGCCTCTCCCTTCTCCCACCTGTCAAAATCCACATTGTTGCACGAGAGTCGCCCAGAGCCGGGCTGTGGCCCTCGAAAAGGAATTCATGGATTCCTGCGACTGCCCCGCAGAACTCTTGTTTGCGGGTAACTTGAGTGGTGGGGTGCAGTCCTCTGGAAGGCCCCGAAAGACGCCACCCCACCGCGGGCCCCCTCTCTTACCCCCTCCTGCCCGGGGAGGGCGCATGCGCGCAGCATGCCCCCCATGACCCCTAGTATCCGGTCAGTGCGGCCAGGGGCGGGGCGGTCCGGGGGCTTCATGCTGGACCCCTACCCTGCTCCAAGCTTCAGGGCTGAGGGGGCACGGAAGCTGGGGGGCTTTGAGGCCTGCGCGCGTCCGGGGAGTTGCTGCTGCCGAATCCGCCCCCAGCCCGGCTCCGCCCCCACTCCCACCCCAGCCAAACTTCGCCAAGGGTGTGGGGTTGTGCTTCTCTCCACGGCCGAAGTTCGAAAACAAACCAACCCCTCTTCATCCCTACCCCAACCTCGAAGCGTGACCCGGCGCTTCGCAGTGCGATTACACAGCCCGCTAAGAACATCCCGTTTCCCCGCGTCCTTGGAGGCAGAGGGACCGGGAAGGCACGCGGGGGTTTCCCCATCATCCCCTTTTCCTCGTCTCAGCAGGTTCGCCGCCCCACCCCCACCCCCTCCATGGAACGGAACGGGTGTGGCATAAAGAGTTGCATATTTTACTTTATTTTTATTAAATTAAAAGCTACAGTCTGGCGGCGATTCCAGAACAGGGTAAGGAGGCTTCTTATAGGGGGCAGAGAAGAGCGGGAGAAAGACGGAGAGACTGACAGAGACTGAGACACGGGAGAGAAAGGACAAGGTTAAGGTAGGAGAATTGTATCCTTTGAACACACAGCCGGCTCCGTGGGGTGGGAGGGCTCACTGCAGCCCAGTTCCTTCTCCTTTGCACAGAAGTTCGGCAGCAGAGCACAACTGGGGGTGGGGGGTGACTCGAGAGACCCTCCCCTCCCCAGCCAGGTCCTTTCTCAGCTTAGTCACTGGAGCACAGCACATACCAGAAAAAGCCAAGGGGGTGGGGCGGCAGGGAGACTGGGAGTATGTACATGGGCAGCCAGGAGCAGAGCCTAGGAGATCAGCCTCTGCTAGCAGGGAGTGGCTCGCACTGCACTGAAACACTTGGCCAGTGGGGGACAGGGGAAGGGCTGCCCCTCCCCCTCTGAACTCCCTCCCCAGTCAGACAGGTCCCCTACTTGTGTGGTGTGGAGGGCAGGGGGCAGAGTGGAGAACAGAGGCTTCCGTTGGGTCCTAGTAGAGGAGGACAGCAGGGGCCTTGGCAAAGGGGATGTTCTTCAGTCATCTGTGATGCCCTTGGCTCTCAGTTCCTCTTGCACCCGGGTCAAGTAGGTGGGGTCTGGGTACCCGAACCTGGGAACAAAGAGAAAGGAGGGTGAGTGTTAGCTGATAGGGCTTGCTCCTATAACCCCACGTTCAGGCTCATTCCAGGGGGCTCAGCCGAGGCACCATATAGATGCGTTCCCACTTCCCCCAAGGGGAGGGCTCCAAACCCAAGATAATTTAGCCCAGTTCTGCTTATTTTTGTAGGTTAAGCTGGGCACATGGGGACCAGTTGGATGTAGGAGAAACAGTGGAAGAGATGGTGGAAGAGTTTGGAGGTGGTCGTCTCCAGCTAAGAGGCTCTCAGGGTAAGAAGGGGTTGAGGTTGTTCCCTCAGTGGAAATGGAGCAGAGGGGAGGAGCCAAGGGAAGGAAATGAAGAGATGTCGCACAGCTGGGGTCCCCCTGTGCAGCTGGTCTTGTGGTGGATGTCGTTCCAGGTGATGACATTCGGTCTCCCCGTGGTCATGGACGTGCCGATGGTGAAGGTGAGACGCTGGTCAAATGCCTTGCGGAACAGGGTCAGCACCTTGTTGCCCTCAGGGCAGTCCGGGAGGTAGGCCACCCGTGTGGTGCCGGGATACCGAACTCCTGGGTTTGGGTGTTCGGCCTGGGAGGAAGGGGAGCAGAGTGGGCTGTGAGCAGCATGCCATCCTGAGGCCCAGATGCCATCAGAGGGGCATCCTGGTCAGCTTCTGTCTGTGCACCCCCAGCTAATGTCCACAGGGCAGCAACAGGCTGACGGCTTTCCAGAAGGAGGGATTACAGGGCCTGGGCACCAAGAGCCTGTTTCAGGACATAATCACTAGCGTTAAGAGGTTCTTTCTGCTGTCTCAATCCCTCAAGTCTCAATTCAGCAACAAAGGGATTCTCAGCTGGTCCTTACTCCCAAGATAACTCAGCAGAAGCGTGAAGCCCGAGGACAATTTCTCTTTCAGTGTCTCTTCTCCACCTGCAAACACGCCTCACCGTGTCTGCCACAGCCTAGCTGTCCCCACTCTACCATTACTCGTCTTTGGAGCGTCCTCATCCCTCTGCAAACCGGAATTGGACAGTACTCTTTGTCCAGCAGGAAGACACCTGGAGGCCCTCCACCCCTCCTGTTTTTACCTTCCACTGGCATCAAGGTTTTGCTCTCATAAATCTGGAACAGAGTAACCCTCCCAGCTCCAGTAAGCTGGTCAGATCCCTTGTTGTGCCTGCCTGCATCTGAGCCACTACCTTCACAGATCTGGCCTCTGCCAAGATTTGTCAACATCCACGTTCACCAAAGAAATAATATGCAATTCCTTTCTCCCTTGTCTGATTTTTTTTTTTTTTTTTTTTTTTTTTGAGTAGGAGTCTCACTTGGTTGCTCAGGCTGGAGGGCAGTGACACGCTCATGGCCACCGCAGCCTCAGCCTGCTAGGCTCAGGTGATCCTTCCGCCTCAGCCTTCCAAGTAGCTAGAACCACAGGCATGCACCACCACACCCAGCTAATTTTTTTGATTCCTTTAGAGATGTGGTCTCGCTAAGTTGCCCAGGCTGGTCTCGTTCCCCTGGGCTCAGGCAATCCTTTTGCTTCCGCCTCCTAAAGTGCTGGGATTACAGGCGTGAGCCACTGTGCCTGACCCCTGCCTGATTTTCATGTGTGTATCCCATGGGATGGAAAAGCTGAGCCTCGAGGGAGCCTCCCATCTCCAGGGCACTGAGTGGGAAGACGTGGTAGAAGACAGCAAGACTGTGTCATGTCTAATAGACACACTGACCCTCGCCCCCTTTTTTTAGATCAGAGCTTAGGGGAAAACCAAAGGGCGAGGGCAGGCCATGGTCGTCTTACCCCCTGGACACCGGGCGGGAAGACGTACTGGATGACAATGGTGCCGTACTTCTCGTAACTGGGCAGTAGGAGGGTGGCATCCTTAGAGACCAGCATCCGCCCATTCTGGGGCTGGTTGCCCACCAGCTGCCCATAGAAGCGGCCGCACATGGGGCAGGCCTTTTTCACCTGCAGGGCCCGGGTGATGCAGCCCTCACAGAACGAATGCCGGCACTTCTCCAATGTCTTGGCGTTCTGGATCTCCCCCAGACAGATGGGGCAGGTGCTCTCCTGCTCTTCTGCCTCCTCCCGGAGGCGGGGAGGAAGAGGAGGGGGCAGGGGAGGAGGAGGAGGGGGGAGCCCCCGCGCCCCTGGGGGCAGGAGCGGGGCTGCTCGAAGAGGGGGTGGGCCTGGGCGGTGCAGCTCGGGGTGCTCCCCCCCACCCCCCAAAGCCAGGCAGCCCATAAGCTCCCCCTGCCTCTGAGCTTTCTTCAGCTCCTTCTCTGCCTCTTTCAGCAGCCCCTTGAGAGCCTTCCGGGCCAGGTAGAGCCCGTTGGGAGGGGCCGGGGGAGGGCCCTGTGGGGACAGCTGGAGAACGTAGATGTCAGAAGTCTCGCCATCGATGAGGATGGACACACGGTGCTCCTCTCGAAGCCGCGCCAGCCGGGCTGGGGTCTCCTTGCTCAGGAAGTCCCACACAGGCTTGGAGACAGTCACTTTGTTCTTGCAGGTGCCTCCACAGGCTGCCATTCTGGACAGGACGAACGACACTGCCCCCAGGGTGAAAGGGACTCAGGGTGGGGGGTCCCCAGCTGACAAATATCAGCGCCCCCTTCCAAGCCCTACGTGATCTCTGTTCCCTCAAAGCCCGGCCCCTGCCTCCTCCCCCAAATTCATTTTCTGCATCCCCTTATCTTCCAAACCCCAGCCACCCACTGAAGAGCAAGATAAGTGGACTATCATCTGAGCCGAGCATCAGTGCTGTTCCCCTTTCAATTCTCCCATGATCACAGAAACAGCCCGCCCCTACCCGCTCTGGGTGAAAAATGGGCTCTTGAAAGGGGAAGGAGACTTTTGGGCCCTCCTTTCTGCTCACTTTGATCCTGAAGAGCTTAGAATTGGCATGCAGGCTCACTCTCTGTTCCCCTGCTCCCTACTTGTAGGCTGTGTGACCTGGTGGGGTGGAAGGGACGAGGAAGGAAAGTGAGAAGCCCCTTCCCCCAGGCCTCAAGGCCCTCACCCAGCAGCCCATGGAACAGAGGCAGAAACCTGGGGGCAGGTTACTGGGAACGGGGTTTCTTGGAACATGGAATGAAGGAGACCGATGTAAGGGTGACAGGTGAGGTTCCCTTGGGAGGGCAGGTACCTGGAAAGCCCATGGAAGATGGTGGCGGCGGAAATCCCTCTCTTCCACACTCAGCTGACAAGGCCTGGGGTGGGGTGGGGAGGAGTCGGGGGAGGTGTTAAAAAGTTATGGTGACAACGTTGCCATTCCCCATCCAGCCCAGAGACAAACTCCTCTTTCGTTTGCTTTCTCTCTCTTCTGCAGGAGATTCCACCCTCAGCCTGTCCCCAGGTTGCTACAGGAACTTCAACATGCTGGCCTCTTTTTTTCCCCAGCTCTGAGGATTTCGAGAAAGCCCAGGGTGCAGATAAGAGAAGTTAGGAAAGAGAAAGCCCACAGACAGAGGTCTTCTTGCCACCTCCACACGGACAGGAATATTTCCTGTGCTCCCTGACTCCTCACTCTGCTCCACATTCCCAAATAATTCTGCCGCTATCGCCAGGGAGGCCTCCTTGAAGAGCTAACTCTGTCCCTCCTGCTGAAGTCTGCTAAGGATGTGAACAAAGTACCGGCAGCCCCTGCAATAACAAAGTTCTCATTGTCACCTTTTAAACCCAGCACACGCAGGGCTGCCTGTCAGCGCCCCAGCCTGGCATTTAGGGAGGGGCGGGGCTCGCACAAGGGCTCAGCCGGAGGGGCCGATGCTTCCCCAGAGCGTGGTCACATTCAGCTACAGGGCTGTCCCCACAACACCTCTGAAGACAGCTCAAACAGAAAGAGGGGCCATTAGTGTGACCTCGATTTCTCGACTGATGCAAAAAGGAGCATCTGTCCCTTCCTGCCTCCACCACAGTCCCCTCAAGGCCAGCTGCACCTGGAGACTGAGAAAGTGATCTGGGACCCCAGAGCCTCAGCCCACACTGGCCTCGGTGGAACACCTCTGTCCCCATCAGAGGGGACCCAGGACCTAGGTGTCCTAGCTCCAAGTCCCGCTGGCACAGAAAAGGGAGGCGGGGCCATAGTTTAGGCTGGGTCTGCGATTCCTTTGGGGCAACCAGGCCGGACACGGGGCCAGTCCCTCCCTCCAGACCGAGGCCAACGGCAGGGACGACCGGGAAGGACACGGGTCCCCGGGGCATCCACGGAGGCAGTTCCACCCCTCCCCCCCCGCCTCC